GATGGAAAGCCCAGTACCAGATGCGTAGCATATTTAGCCCCCAGACGCTAACGAAGACAGATGACTTCTCCCCGCTGGAGCCCACAGCGTGAGGCAGGGGACGGAGAGAAAGGGCAGCATCATCACACAGCAACACAAGTGCATCAGTTGGTGATGAATGGTGAAAAATCTAAACATATTGCATGCTTAATAACTTTCAAGCAAAGCATTTTAAAAATCTTTCCAGTTTCTTTCCATGTTGGGTTTAGAAGGCATGCAGGAATCGGGCAGAGCGCCACTTGAGATGAGCTAAACATGTAACAGAAAAGTCCAACCAAATAACCTTGATTACAGTAGTTGTCTCTGCCTGGTTTGGATTTGGAAAGGTACTTTTCCAGTCGGGGATATAAAAAATCCACTTTGATTTGTTGTGAAATTGATTCTTCATTATTTAGTTTGGTTTTCGGGGTTCAAACAAAAGGCTTTTCTAGTCTCAGTCGTTTCGATCACTTCTTATATTAGTCCATCAAATGGCTGATGCAGGACTTAAGAATAACAATACACTGATAGCTTATGAGTTGGATTCTGGTTGACTACATGTTTATGTGTAGTTCCATTTTTATCAGATGAAATGTGCAGAATGTCTGAAAAAGTATATAAAAACGGCACGACTGCTCTTATTTTAACAAAGAAAGTGGGGCACTGGGGTTCAGGGGTTAGGCGTTCACCCTGTAACCAGTGGGTTGCCTGTCGTGTCATTGGGCAAGACGCTTGACTCTCCATACCTGCTGGTGGTGGTCGGAGGGACCGGTGGTGCTGAGTGTGCCCCTCCTGTCATTGTGGCCAAGGGCAGCTGTGGCTACAGTGAAGCTCATCACCATCAGTGCATGAAAGGATGAATGACTTGTAGTGTAAAGTGCTTTGGAGTCCTCTGACTTGGTCTGCACTTGTGTAGCGCATTTCTATTTCCCATTTATCTAAGATGGATGTTGAATTGTCCCAATTTATATTTTACAAATAATCCTATGTAACAACTCTTAGTCCAGTTAATGAAACACCAAACATTAGCAGAGCCTCTGTCACTGCAGACAAATTAGCCGTCATGCAATTATTTGGGGTAATAATGTTAAGTAGTTGTTCTGAGGATCTTTGTCTTATGCACATGAAGATACCACTCCTTGGTTTTGTGAGTTTTATTTTAGTTTGACTTTTAGACCTTTTGGGGTATAGAAAGTTGATTGGTTCAAACAGCTTATTGTTGTGGACACAAACGGATATACTGGAGTGCGGCAAGATGGATTGTCTCATCTTAATTTAGCAAATCTGTCAAAAAGCCAAATTGATGTAAAAAAAATAAATATCCACTTATGTTCTTTGTCGGGCTGCACAGTGGCGCAGTGGTTAGAGCTGTTGCCTTGCAGCAAGAAGGTCCTGGGTTCGCTTCCCGGCCTGGGATCTTTCTGCATGGAGTTTGCATGTTCTCCCTGTGCATGCGTGGGTTCTCTCCGGGTACTCTGGCTTCCTCCCACAGTCCAAAAACATGACTGTTAGGTTAAGTGGTCTGTCTAAACTGTCCTTAGGTGTGTGTGTGCATGGTTGTTTGTCCTGTGTGTCTCTGTGTTGCCCTGCGATGGACTGGCTCTCTGTCCAGGGTGTACCCCGCCTGATTGCCCGTTGACTGCTGGAGATAGGCACCAGCACCCCCGCGATCCTACATGGACAAGCGGGTTCAAAAAATGGATGGATGGATGTGCTTTGTAGAAGCTGGTCATGCCAGTGGTCTTCTCTCTATAGTATTGTGTTTCTAGGCTTTTTAAAATCTCTGTGCGTGCGCGCGTGTGTGTGTGCATGTGCGCGCGTGCGTGTGAATAACCCTTCAGTCAACCTCAACACTGCCTTTCAGTTATTGTCATCTCCATTGAAAAGGACAAGTGTACATCAAAGAGAATGTGTAATAGTTTATATAAGAGCGATTAACTGGACTTGGTTGATCATCTGGGAAAGACTTTTTTGGGTCAGATTGTTGCCCACTATGTACTGACTTCTGCTGTAAACTCAGCTCATGGTTTTATGTACAAACAAAACAAAGAAGACAAAGTTTGTTTAAAGAATTGAAACAATTTTTTTTTTGCAGCTGCTTTTCAAAAAACGTTTGTAACGTTTACACACCCTCATCCTAACTGATGATAATCAGCTGAAATGGTACCGTTCAGGTGGTGTTACTGTTGTGTAGAATGAGAAAATGTTGGCTGTTTGTTCTGTTTGTGACTCTTACCTCTGCAGGTGTTTAGTTAAACGTTCGCGGCACACCAAGGGCTGCCTGTGGGCAGGACGGTTTAAGAGAAAATAGGAAGGCCTGATGACAGAGACAACATAGGAGTTTGTGCAGCTGTTTTACCGTGATGGATCTATTATCCAGCCATTACAAGATAAATGATCGATCTCTCCCAGCCTCCCCCCTGCACCTTCTGCAAAATTGAAATGAGGACAGAAAGCCAAGAGCAGGGGGCGGGGGTGGGTGCTATGATTAGGGGCTAGGTGAGATGCCCATTAATTTAAGAGAAAAAGGATGGAAGAAGAGAGGAGGAGAGAAGCGGATGACGGGGAGGATAGGCCGACCCCACGTTGGGCCATCAATCAAAAAAGAGCGTACGTTGTCTCTGACGTGATGACCCAGCACTCTCTGCCTCTGGCACCTTAATTAGAATTCATAGCAAAATAGATGCAAGGAAACGGTTTGGGCCCTTCATAATTTTATAGGAAATTTATTGTTATTAGAAGAACCATTTGCTTAGTGTGATTTTTCCATTACCAGCTTGTCACGCAGGGTAGATAATATGGTCGGGGAGGGGGAGGAGGTGTATGAACTCCATAGATTGGGGTGTCAGATTTGTTGATGGTGCATGTAGTTTACCTTGGATCCATGTCTAATCGGTGAAGTTGGTAAAGAATGCACAATGCCTGACAGCAGAACCCACGCCTTCAGAGGCGGAGCTGACTGGGAAAGGCTGCAGTTCAGCACCAGGGGGTAACAACACCTAGCCTCAAAGTCCGAAAAAGCTCAAACTTATCTAGGTTTAGCAAGTAATCCAACTCTAGTGGGAGTCTATTCTACAAGAATATGCTGTCATCTCTGCTTTTGCTAATTTACAGATTAGATGTCTGTAGCGTAATGGCTCATGGTTTCTGTTATCGATGAGGTAAACCGCTACCATGGCTTGGCTAATGTTGGCTAACAACGGCACAAAAGATGATGCAGAGTGGAGCAGCAGAGTGAGCAGTGCCTCAGTGGGGTTGTGCTCCCTTAAGTGAATCTTCTGGCTTATCCACCTTTTTCCTGGGCCGGCTCATGTAGAAATGATGGTGCGAGCAACATCCAGTGATGCCAGAAGTAGTGCATAGCCACTGGCTTGCATGGTGAGTTTTCGTTGCTAGTAGCAGTTTATTTATTTATTTTTTAATCTTTTATTTCATTCACAATGTATAAAATAAACACAAACAAATACAACATACATTAACATATTGAAAAAAAAACATTTGAATGAAAAGGAGCAGATAGAAGAAAAAAATCTTAAGATTTCTGCCCCTTTTTACGAAATAAAATTATCCGCCAAACAAACACAGTATAACCTCAGTCACTTTCTAATATTTTCATGTCTAATCTTTGACATTATAATTCTCCTTTTCATAATTACAAAATACATTAGATTTTATACATTTTTTAAATATAGCAAGTGTAGTTGATTCTTTAAATTCCCTGTTAATGGTATTCCACAATCTTACACCATTTACTGAAATGTTACATTCCCTCACTTTGGTTCTGAATCTAGGTTTCTCAAAGACATCAGTTCCTTTTAACATGTACCCACTTACTCTCTTATGAAACATTTTCTGAATATTAGTTGGTAGATTACTCGTATTCGCTCTGTACATTATTTGCAATATTTTCCACTCGACCAAGTCAGGAAATTTCAGTATTTTGTATCTAATGAATAATTGATCAGTGTGATCTCTATAGTTACTGTTATTAATGATTCTCAATGCTCTTTTTTGCAAAATGAACAATGGTTGTGTAAAAGTTTTGCAAGTGGCTCCCCAAATTTCTAAACAATAAAATAAATATGGTTCAATCAGTGAGTGATACAATGTTAACAACCCCGACAAATTTAGTAGAAACTTGACTATATAATACACCTATGGCTTTGGCGATTTTCCCCTTTATATAATTATATTTGAACATTTCATGAGGATTTAAAAAGCTTTTTGATCCCGAAATGTTCTTACGTGCTTGGGAACATGTTTGCGGTTGTACCAACAAGCAGAGAAAGTAAAATTTGTGGCTACAAGAGCGATGTTTAGAACACATTGGCTGTACATCAGTGCACGAGGACCCCGTCTTTCCCTGACTGAATGCGTTCTCAGCCTGTAATAAAAATAATTCATAAATATAAACAGACTTTAGACCCCAAAAATGAGCTTTATAAAGCAAACCAAAACGAATTTTCTTTTAAATTATATTCTAACTACGTTAAGAGCTTAATTTGTGCATTGTAATCAGAGTTGTATATTGGCCTTGTTTTTATTAAAAGCTCAGTTATAGTCCAAGCTGTAGCTGGAGGCCTATTTGTTAATCAGTGCGTTATTTCTCCAGAGTCTTTATATTAAAGCTTGTTTAAGAGACAATATATTTACTCAGTTTGTCTGGAGAGAAAAAAAAACGTTTCAGATTCTCGCAACTTCAATTAACTCAGCTGTCAATGATGAGAAGTCTTTTAAAACGGAGAAGCAAAAAACTCTCTGGAGTTTTTCCTCATCTGAGCGCTAAATTGTCTCTTACAGCTGGTGGCGGGCAGTGTTGTGGTGGCCTTTGAGGAGGTGTGCCCGGATCGCATCGATCTGATCCACAAGAACTTCAGGAAGCTGTGCAACCTGCTGGTGGATGTGGAGGAGTGGGGTCAGGTGGTCATCATCAACATGCTGACGCGCTACGCCAGGACGCAGTTTACCAGCCCCTGGAGGGAGGTGAGATACTCGTCACCACAAGAACTTGTGGGAATCGACTGTTTGTCCACTTAAAGTGTGTGTTTACTGTAAATTTACTATAAAATCAGATAAAAACTTAAAACGGTGCTCTCCCAGTGCACATAACTGCAGACATGTCAGCAAATGCAGGTGACAGGATCACCTCACAATCAACAACACTTTCTTCTAATCATTGCTGCCTGACTCCTTTAATATTAAATGCAACCAGAAGGGATTTTTTTCATTTTCTAATATCAGGAGAACCTTTTGTGTTCTGTAATATTTTACTTCAGGATGCCATGTTTGACGAGAACAACGAGAAAGCCTTCTACGACTCCGACTCCGAGGAGAAGAAAGGCCAGGCGGATGTGAAGACCTACATCATGGATCCGGATCACAGACTTCTGCTGAGGAACACCAAACCTCTGCTGCAGAGCAGAAACACTGCGGTGAGTGCTTTAGACATTTCACGGTAGAATAAAAGCTCATCAAGGCTGATGTAAATTAGATCAATCATGTGAAAATGTTTGGTTTTATTCTAAATGTTGCTGCAATGTTTCGTCATTTTACTGAATCAGTTCTGAAAGAGAGGAGAAAATGTCTTGCACCAGAAATATGAAATAAGAACCAAAAGCCTCTATCTCTCACCTACATGTTTAGGGCAATCAAAGCACTAATGACCTCATTTCTATCACATTAAAGCAGCGTCTCATCCAAGCCCCCATAATTCGGGTCTGGATATGAAGCAAAACAGGAAGTGACAAAATTGCAGTTCCACCCTCATCCACTAGGGGCTGGTATCAGAAGCGAGCAAATCCTCATTGACTCCTCATTGACCATGTTAAAAATACCAATTTCACAGCAGAAATAAACATGTTTACAGCCTGGTTCCAAAACATGTTTTAGGTTTAATAGATCTAGTTTAAATTCATGGCAACTCTGAAGGGGGGGATTTTTTTTCTCACTCTTCTGTTTTAAGTGTATTAAAAGCCTAAAATTCTGAATAATTAATGAGCATCAGACCCACGTGACCACAGAGCTAGCTCCGGGGAAAGGCCTCAGCCTGAGCCTCGGCCTCGCCTGAAAACTGTTCGGTCATTTTCAGTCTCTCAACTTAGACTATTAGTTAGTTGGTCTCCACATACAAATGGACAGTGCTCGGACCAGTGAGAGCAACAAAACGTGACGTATTCATTGCTTATTGAAATCAGCCAGTGGGGCAGTCGCCATTCACTGAAGAAGAAACAAATGCAATTTTTTTCAAAACAAAGCAGCAGCAGCAGCAGCCCAGGAGGTAGAGCGGGTTGTCCAGTAATCGTAAGGTTGCAGGTTCGATCCCAGCTCCCAGCAGAGAATGCTGCTGTTGTGTCCTTGGGCAAAACACTTAATCCATCTTGCCTGCTGGTGGTGGTCAGAGGGACCGGTGGCGCCTGTGCTCGGCAGCCTCACCTCTGTCAGTGCGCCCCAGGGCAGCTGTGGCTACAACGTAGCTCATCACCATCAGTGTATGAATGTGTGGATGTCTGATTGTGTTGTGAAGCGCCTTGGGGGGGGGGGGGGGGGGTGTAGAACCCTAAGAAGGTGCTATACAAATAAAGTGCTTAAGTAAATGTTTCAAAAGCCACTTTGCTGCAAAACTGAGGCGGCATCTAGGAGCTTTTGGCCATTCGTAGGCTGTGTGTACACACACACACACACGTGCACACACACACACACACACACACACACACACACACACACACACACACTTGTGCAGCTGCTGTCCTGTTAGGATGGACAGATACTCCCCACCAGTAAAGCATCTCTAGAAACATTTAGGTTACTTGATTCAACTTTCATAGAAGACACAAGAAAACCAGCCTCAGACTGAGGAGAGAGAAAACAAAAAAAGAGAAAAAAAAAACTGTGATTACAGATTTCCATCAAACAGGAGTCTCAAGGTCTCCGTCTCTCTGCAGCAGCGGGAGGAAAAATGCTCCCAAATGAAAGTGTTGATTAAAATGTGACACGCTGTGTCTTTACTCGTGACAGCACAGTGACATCCTCTATCTTCATAGATGCCTGCACCCTCTCATTCTGCCCGCGGTGATGGACACACGTCCTCCTGCTATTTAAAGCTCTGTTGAAAAATTACTTTAGTAAACTGGTGTCATGAGTGCTTTTGTAGAGGCTGGAGAAATGTGTTGGTTTATTGCATGGATGTGATGAGTGGATGCGAGTGTAAAAATAATCACGAATTTAAAAGTTGGGGCCTTTTTAAAGATCAAAAGGGGAAATAATGTAAAAAGGGAGTTGTTTGTGTTTGTGTTTTTAGGTTGTAATGGCTGTTGCACAGCTTTACTGGCATCTGGCTCCAAAACATGAAGTCAGCATCGTAACAAAGTCATTGGTTCGACTCCTGAGAAGCCACAGGTACATCGTTGTTGCATTCAGTGTACAGCAGCGCTGTGTCCGTGTCTTAATGTTGCTCTCCTGCTCCTTCGCACAGGGAAGTTCAGTACGTCGTCCTGCAGAACATTGCTACAATGTCCATTCAGAGGAAGGTGAGGCTGCTTGTGGAAACGCCAGCCTTTCTGTTTCCTAGTTGTATTGGTAACATGAGCTTTTGTCTAAACAGGGAATGTTTGAGCCGTACATGAAGAGTTTCTACGTCAGATCCACAGATTCCACACACATAAAGACTCTGAAGGTAACAGTTTTATTATCCATGTAAGCGTCACAAAAACCCCATTTACTCACCAGGACCTTGTTATGACAAGGACGGACAAAGTAGAGCCCAATTTTTTAACTATCCGCGAACGGAACGGAGAGCCCACTTCTGTGATTGGTCGGCCCAGCAGCAACAGCAGCGGCGGTAATGGACGTACATTCCATCGAAGTTCTCGTTCCTCGAGATAAAGCAGTTCCAGCTGAGTGAAAAGTCGCTCTGTCGGCCATTGGTCCTTGAATGGGTTGTCGTTTTGAAGTTGTTGTTTTTTTTCTCAGTCTTTATTGAACATTGAAAACTTCCAATATCAACTCAGGAATCTAAAATTTCAATTTAAATTCAGACCTTCTTCAAGATATTTGCTTTTACAAGCTGATGAAAAGCAAACACCGACCAGAGACATCACTGCAATGGTTGGTAGACCTGCCAGAAAAGGACTACGCCCCCTGCTGTCCTGGTGGAAAGTTGCTTAGCAACACTGACACACCAGCAAAGAAGTATAAAGGAAAAACGTATAAACTGGGCTGCACTCCCATAGGGTTGTCACGGTGTGAAAATTTATCCTCACGGTTTTTGTGACCAAAATTACCACGGTTTTCGGTATTATCGCGGTATTTTTTTAAACATTTTCAGACAACTAAATAAACCCTGTATATCAGGAAAATATTGTCCTCAGTTTGTGTCTAAATTTTGCCTAAAATGTGTTATTTTGTAATTGTGTTGTTTATTTTCATTTTTCCCTTTTAGTCTTTAAAATACCAATATTTGCCCATAACTTCTTATTTTTTGTCTGTTTGATGTCACCATTTTAAAAATATTAGACCAGATGATACTCAGTACTCAAGTAGCCTTCTAATCAGATACTTTTTTACCCTTACTTGAGTAATAAACCCTATATCAGGAAAATATCGTCCTCGGTTTGTGTCCTTCCACTGAGCTTTGCAGATGTGGGAAAATGTCATCAGGCAGTAATCATTGTTAAATTTACAATTATTCTCGGAGAGAGACCAACTCTTATCTGCCCCTGGGAGCCCCGTAATGCATAGCGTCATTTCAATATGGTGGTATCCGCGACACGGTTTATATGCAGGTAGCGGCGCTGCGGCTCCTTTACATAGCGACTCGTTGCATTCTCCCTCAACCCAAATCCTCGGATCACGCATTTTAGCTAAAACGCTAACGTTAGCTTGCCTTGCGTTGACTGCAGAGTTGTGGGTGATGGTCATGCAGATGTGTCATGAGATTTGAAGCGTTGCTGCCTTTCACAGACACTTTTTCTGCTCGTGCTGCAAACAGGATAGCCGTCTTCTATCAACTGTCCCTCGGCATTCTTCAAACATCCAAAAAATGCCCGTACTTCCCACTTTGTCTTCTTTGAGGGATAATAAATGTCCTGAGCGCTGCCGTCTCCTCCTTTGGCCATTATTTCAGCTTTAGCTTCAAGAAAGTTTTGGTCGTAAACAACAAAGTGCGCATGTGCCGCCGACAACTTCAACAGATGATACGGTGGCTGGTAAGGGTCACTGCGCCTACACCGCAGCCACGGTAACCCACCGAGATAATATTTAAAAAAAAAAAACAAGACGGTTATTATTATTGCCAACTTTTTTACCGGGGCTTACCGCTACACCGGTTACTGTGACAACCCTACACTCACACCATGGGGCAAATTAGTGTCTCCAATCAACCTGACATCAATGTTTTGTCTGTGGGAGCGCGGAGATGATTCGCTGCTCCTCCACATCGTGAGGTGCCTGTTGAGTTGGCTTGAGCATCTGGTTAGGGTGCCTCCTGGACGCCTCCCTAGTGAGGTTTTCTGGGCACGGCCAACCAGGCGGAGACCCAGAGGAAGATCCAGGACAAGATGGTGATACTTTTTCTCATCTGGTCTGGGAATTCCTTGGGATTCCTCGGAGGAGCTGGCCCAAGTGGTGGGGAGAGGGAAGTTTGGGGCTCTGCTTAAGCGGCTGCCCACGCAGCCTGAACCCAGATAAGCAGATGAGAATTTATGGATGCTTCGAAACCATAGCATGACCACTTCCCTCTAGATCAAAAGTCTAGAGCACATGTGTCAGACACAAGGCCCGCAGAGTATTTTTATGTGGCCCGCGAGAAAAATACTAAAACTGACCTGCTGGCCGATTTTACCGCAAAGACTACAACTCCCATGATGCTTTGCGGTGTTAGTGTCGAGCCGAAGCGCCCCCTCCTTTGTGTTTTTTCCAGCGTCTTCTGCCGGTGTCTGCAGCTCCGCTGTCTCGAACAAACTAAACACTCCTCTCACTCAGTGCCAAGTTCACTCAGCTATTTTCCGACGTTGAAGCCCAGAAACGGAGATTTTAACCGCTCAGTAATGTGTTCACGACTGAAAGAGAAAGATTTCCAACTAACTTCCAGACAGAGCTGATATAACTCCAGCAAGCAGCGACACGCTCAAACCAGCATGACTCTGTGGCTGCTGTCGTCGTTTTCCTCCCCGCCACACAACAACGTGGTCAAGCTGCTCAGATGCTCTCCATGTTCACCAGCACAAACCTATGTGAGCACCTGTTGTCATCTAATGTTGTCATCATTATGATGAAGATGAACAAAACAACAGGAGTCTCCTCCTCAGCTCAGATCAACCCCATGATGCAGGTATCTGGCTGGAACAGGTGAGCATCACAGTAAACCAGTGGAGCAAACTGAGCTTTAAATATGTTGGTTTTATGCTCTTTTTCTGCTCTAAAACATGAAAGTTAACAGGTGAGATGTTGCATTTTCATTTAAGATAAAATTATATATTTATTTTGTTGTTGGCCCGTGAGAAAAGATTTAACCTACAGTAAACAGGAAGTGGAAAGGCTGCAGATAGATGAATAGAATAGAAAATCCCTTTATTGTTCCTCAGTGGGGAAAGCTAGATGTCACAGCCACGATGACACTTATTACAGGAGAAAAAAAGGAGAATAAAAAATAAGAAAAATGAATAAACCACAAGAAAACATAAATCCTGAATAGATTTTAAAAATGCTGAAAATACCACAAGTAATGAATACCACTGATGCGTTTTATTAAAAATTGACTTGCTTGTGTGTAATTTGGTTATTCCACATTCAGTGTTAATGCAAAAAATAAGTTTGTTTCCAAATTAAAAGATTCTAAATTGCATATATGTTGATAAAGAAAATGTGCAAATTTGCTGTCTTAAAAAAAAAAGAAAAAGTTTGGCCTGCGACTTCGTCCCAGATTTTCATTTTGGCCCCGTGTGAATTTGAGTTTTGACACCCCTGGTCTAGAGAGTAAAAATTAATCTGACAATAAATTTTAAATGTAAAAAAAATACTGTTTATCTTGTTATTTTTGCAGTTGGAGATCCTCACTAATCTGGCCAATGAAGCCAACATTTCCACCATTCTTAGGGAATTCCAGGTTTGTTTATTGGCCCTCTGTGATTAAGGATTTACTACATTCATCACATATTGGATTTTTCAAATGGTGATGAGTGTGATCCTGTTGCAGACCTATGTGAAGAGCCAGGACAAAGCATTTGCTGCTGCCACTATTCAGGCTATCGGCCGGTGTGCCACCAACATCTCCGAGGTCACAGACACCTGCCTGAATGGGCTGGTGCTGCTGCTCTCCAACAGAGATGGTAATCTCCATGTAACAAGTGCAGATGAATGCACCTCGTGCTTTTGCTGTTGGGCTTTCTCAGGACTTGTTTCTGGCTCTGCAGAGTCGGTCGTGGCTGAGAGCGTGGTGGTCATCAAGAAGCTGCTGCAGACTCAGCCCAACCAGCACAGTGACATCATCAGTCACATGGCCAAACTCTTTGACAACATCACCGTATGTCAAGAATCTTCTAGCTGCTAGTTTGATGAATTTTTTTGTTTAGAGCTGTGAAGCATGGTGAAGGGTTAGAACAATTTGAACTTTGGCTTACAGGTTCCGATGGCGCGGGCCAGCATCCTTTGGCTGATGGGAGAGTACTGCGAGCGGGTGCCAAAGATCGCACCGGACGTACTCCGTAAGATGGCAAAGACTTTCACTGTGGAGGAGGACATCGTCAAGCTGCAGACGGTCAACTTAGCAGCCAAACTCTTCCTGACCAACTCTAAGCAGGTACAGGGAACCAGCCTGGCCTGCCAGACTCTTCCTGTGTTTAATTCTACACAGAGAAAGCGTCTGGTTACTCACAGCCAGAGAGGCACATGAGGGGCGGGACTAGCAGCTCAAAAATAACCTATCAGAAAAAGACTGAAATGCCCACTGTACCGTGCTATGCAGTCGTTTTTTAGCTGTAGTCAAAAAGGCGTCTGGCAATGGCGCAAACATCTTTCTTCAGAAGAAAGGCTTTTAGCGCTTCCACTTGTGGTTTTAAAGACAATCAAGTCATTTAGAACAGAGGAAAGAGCCGCAGAGAACTCTGCTTCAGTCGCCATGTTTATGACAAACTCTGCGTTTTGGGTGTTTCTCTTTGTCAAGGCGCCTGGCCTTGCGAGGCGATGTCTTGCGAAGCCAGGCACCTTGCTTACGAGGACAATGTCCTTCCTTGGTCAAAGAAAACGGTTAAATGGAACAGACTTGCGTCGCGTGATCGCGGCTTCCACGGCTGTCACGTAACGTCACGTGACACGGGAGATAACGTTGTATTTTATACGTATTAGTTTCTATATAAATGTATAACGAGCCTTTTACTTTTTAAATAGTGTATATGTTTATAAAATTAAAAATATAAGTGAGTTACTACCTGCTAACCACTGAAACTTCAACTAATAAGCAACTAACCAACCATGGATAACTTCTTTGGATCTAAAAAAACATTTTAAATTAGTTGGCTTACTTTTAAACTTGAAAATTGTTCCCGAAGTAGCTGCCGGCTTCTGATCGGCCATCCTTTTGAAAATACTGCGGTGTATTCTGGGTAATTTTTGACTAAGGCTAGGCTACAAGACACCTCCAGTGTATCCTCGTTCAGCTAGCTAAACGGCTAACAAATGGCGAACACGCCTCGGTAGAACATGAACATTGGAACACGTCTTGGTGGCTCCCGATGACGTATCTCCTAGGCAACCGGGGCGGGGCTAAGACATCAAGGCAAGGTTCCTTGACACTGAGAAACACCCATGGTGTGTGACATACGCTACTCAGCGCTGATTGGCTCGGTTAGAATTCTCAGTGGGTGGGGTTATTTGAATAGGAGATTTCCCAGACCCTTTCTCTGTGCAGAATTAAACCGAGGAAGAGTCTGGCATGCCAGGCTAACAGAAAACACCAAAACGTTGAAGATTTAAAGCCACCAGTCATCACGAGGCTTGGCCAGTTCAGCAGCTCTGAGCTAAAACAGTTTAAAAATCATTGCGTTAATGCTACGGTGCGTTCTTTAGTGAAGCTTAGCATCCATTTGATTATGACATTCACCTATAATTGTTTCAGTTTTGCTGCTGATGTAAGGAAGTGAAGTAAAACATTTCTTTAAAACCTGAATGAGGCATCAGCTGATGTTTCATTACACTTTCAGTTTTTATTTTGAGTATCACGCCAGTCTGTCTCTCCTCCTCTATACGCTCCTTTGTTCCCAGACTAAACTCTTGACCCAGTACATATTGAACCTTGGCAAATACGATCAGAACTACGACATTAGAGACCGAACACGCTTCATAAGACAGCTGATCGTGCCCAGCGAGAAGAGCAGCACCCTCAACAAGTATGCCCGACGCATCTTACTGGCCTCTAAACCTGCTCCGGTTCTGGAGTCTGCTTTCAAAGGTATTTTTCTTCAACTTTTATTCTTTGTTTTGAAATGTATGAAACCCCCCACCCCACCCACCTACATGTAACCATGTATAATAAATGCATAGACTGTTGGTCTGTTGTGTAAATCTAAAGAAAATAGCTGTTTAAATTTCAGGCTCAAACCCGTCCTGTGAAGTCAGGAAGTGGTTTTAATATTCCGGTGTGTCTGTCTCTTTGAAGGGCAGTTGGGTCAGAACTCTTTACCTTGGACTAATGAGATGGGTAAATTATTGAGTTCATGCTAACCTTTTTCAGACGCTGAGAGATGAAAAGAAAATCTCTCATTTTCTCCTTTCCGCTTTGACAAAAGGGACAAAAATGCCTCCCGTAGCATTAAAATTCACAGGCAGTTTTCACCCGCTGGATGTTTATGGATGGCCTTACCCACTCCTGTCATTCTTAATATTCAGAAGCAAATTTTTTTTCCCCATCAGCAGAGTATTTCTTTTATCACACCCTCCAACGGCAAAGACACTGATTAGCTTATTGGTCGCCGAGGAGGAAACGGAGTAATTTTCTGTGTTCGTAAAACTCAAGAGGTGACATTCATGTAATGAAAAAAAATTCAGGATCTCATGAATCACTGACATCTTCAGTGAGAACTAACCATGCTGGCACCTTAGGCCAGATACTTTCCCTCAAAGATTTCCCTCTTGTTTCAGATCGAGATCGTTTCCAGCTGGGAACCCTGTCCCACAGCCTCAACATTAAAACATCTGGGTACCAGGAGCTGTCAGAGTGGCCCGCTGTTGCTCCTGATCCGTCTGTCAGGAACGTGGAGGTCATAGAACCGGTAAAGTTTCTACTTAAATCGGCTTTATTTCAGTTGCAGGTCTCGTTCACCGAGAAACCGAGTTATTCTTGTTCTTTTGGAAATGCGACACGAGTTTCATGTGCATGCTGAACGTGAGCGTTTTTCTTCAACCCTCAACACCCGCGTTAGCTGCAGTGAAGAATTATGGGAAAACGATCAGGTCAGAAAACCCAAATCTCTTCTATGTTGCAGTAAAAATCAGTATTCATGGCCCCGCCCACATGGTTTGGGACTGAGGAAGGCTGAGTTGATTTTGCAGTCAGGAGAGAACAGAGAACATCTTGGCTAGTAGAAGCTAACCATTTGCATTAGCAGCTTAACACCTTCAGGCTTGTTTTGTTTGTGGAGATAAAACATAGCTGTTGCATCTTTAAGACTGAACAATGCCAGCAGGTGATCCGTGTTGCTGTTAGCCAATCAGAAACAAGAAATTTGCATATCATGAATATTAATGAGCAAAACTTGCAACGCTATTATTTTGTTTCCCCCAATTCTCCGACCGTAAAACAGGATGGCCAGAGACGTTTTTCCACAGAAAACGACTCGGGAGGCATTCTTTCATCCTAGAAACAACAGATTTATTAACTCCTTCACTGCCCGCCGTTTCCTGATCGGTAAAGCCCTTCGCTGCCAGTGTTTCTCGCCATTCTTACAGTTTTTTTTTTTAAGTGACAGAACGCTGCGTGATAGGGTGATGTCGACGGCAAAACAACCAAAACAAAGCGGAGACTCACCTCTTACATCAGGACGAATCCGCGCCTTTCGAGCGTTATCCGTTCTTTCCTAATCCGTTGTTGAATTGTGATCGGCAGACGCTTTTCTGGTTCGCGCCTCACTTTTTTTTTACAGGAACGTCCCAAAACGATCTCCTAACACACGAATGTTCTGCTTCCTGATCACGTGACGTGTGAGGTACGCGGAAGAAGATCGGCTTTAGGGCTGAGATGTTTGTTCTCACGGTGCGGGGGCTCGTTCCGACGCCCACACAGTAAAAAAAATGCAAATGATGACTTTAGTCGTCATTGGTAGTGAATGAGTTAATAAACACAAGTGAATGATAGTTTCAGTAAATCAGTCTGGAAATGCAAAGGTGCTTTAAAATGGCGTTTACACACCAGCATGGCTCCACTCCCCCTGACCGGCTTGGGAGTGTTCTCATTTAGGTAGCCTTGGATTTTCCCTAGCGTAACCAGACGTCTTTTCAGCTCTCTTCCCGACTCGGTCTGCCTGGAGCCGAACAGAGCCGACAGACCAGCTACCGGCTGATTGGCTGGCTCAAAATCACGTGTAGCATTAGGGGAAGCCTCTGATTGGCAGATGGAATCAGCCCGTGGAGGCTTCCCACATCATTCTGGATGCTGTGGAGTTAACAAGCCACACACACGCACACACACGCACACACACGCACACACACGCACACACACGCACGCACACGCACGCACACGCACGCACACACACACACACACACACACACACACACACACACACACTGCTGCCAGACACAGCAAAGCAGGATGCAAAATCAGAGTCAGAGCTTCTCCAAAAGCAAGACTGCTCAGGCTGCTTTCGTTTATTAATGGAGACACCGCAAACTTCTCCGTGATCTTTTGTCCCTCCATGTGCTCAAAGGTCCACTCATGACATCATAGGCCACAGGCCGCCCATGCACTCAATCACGTCTACGTCCCTAAGGCGGCGTGGAACGAACGTGTCCAGGCGGAGTGGAGTCGATGCTGGTGTGTACGTGGCATAGGGTTCTTAGCAAAATGTCTGTATTTCTGAAGAGATTTCTGCTTTGTGATGGTGGATGATTTTGTGTAAATTAAAAACAAAACAAAGTGGACTCGATCAGTTGTACAAAACCCTGTCATATGAAAAATATGGCCGTGAAGTATTCATATTGACATTTACCTGCATAGGTTACCTTAGATGTTTGTTTTTGTTTTCCATCTCTTCTGCTGTCTGTCCTCTACTCATTGCATCATCCCAGGTGAAGGAGTGGGCACCATCAGTTGGGAAGGCCAAACAGTCCAAGTCTGAAGACAAGTTCTACTCAGACGATGAAGAGAAAGAAGAGAATGCTTCTGACAGCAGTAGCAGTGATGACAGTGACAGCAGCAGTAGCAGCAGTGAAGGTTTGGTTTTGTGCTTTTGTTTTTTGGTGGTGATCACCAAACAGGCCTTTGGTCTGCAGCCACAGAGCTATCAAGGCAATCACACAGCCTGGTCAGGAAAGATGCAGAGGGGTTACACGTGACCCATGAAGTTTCATGCTGTTGTCCGTTAACTGGGATTTTAATCATGTGAAAATCAGTCTTTTCTATTAATCTGATAAGTGTTAACTGTTTGTGGTCTTTGCAGAGTCAGGCAGCGAGAGTGAAGAAGAGAGTAACGAAGAGTCAGAAAAGACATCCAGTGATTCTGGAAAAAGTTCCAGTGAGTCTGAAACTGAACCAAAGAACAACTCTAAGAAGGCGACTCGGAAGAAAAAACCTGCTGACAGGTGCAGTAGTAACCCAAAGTCATTTTATTTCAGTCATGTTGGTGTGTTCTCACCAGAGGTTTCCTGTTCTCACTCAGCCTGTAGGGCAGATGTTTGTGAGTGGCCATTTCATCGTCTTTTTTCTATCAGAAGCTAATGCAGGAGATGTAGGAGACTATTTTCATGTTCAGCCTGCATGAGAAACGCTTGAGTGACCCATTAGAATCAGAAACAATCATTACAAAGTGTTTTTTTAGTGAACCACACCTTTAACTCATTCGCTGCCAGCGTTTCTTGCTGTTTTTACTGCTTTTTTAAGATTCACAGAACGTTGTGCGCTAGGATGATGTCAACGCCAAAACAACCAAAACAACCAAAACAAAGCGGAGACTCACCTCTTACATCAGGAAGAATCTGCGCGTTTCGAGCGTTATCCGTTCTTTCCTAATCCGTTGTCGAATTGTGATCAGCAGAAGCTTTTCCGGTTCGCGCCTCACTTTTTTTTTTTTTACAGGAACGGCCCAAAACGATCTCCTAACACATGGATTTTCTGCTTCCTGATCACGTGACGTGTGACATACGCAGATGAAGATCGGCTTTAGAGCTGAGATATTTGTTCTCACGGTGCGGGGGCTCGTTCCGACGCCCACAGAGTAAAATTAATGAGTGAATGAGTTAAACAATTTATTAGCCATTTTATTCGCTTATACACTTTTCTTACTCCACATTTGATGTATATGAATAAAAGAAAGAAGTTGCCTTTGCCCCCAGAATCTACCAGGAGTGAGCTCTAAAGTTTTCTGAACAAACTTTGATGAGTCACATGAAATAAATCCAGATCCTTAATGATTCCATTTCATATCTGGTCACTCAGACTTACTGTACTGTGCAAACACCTCTTTCACCCCCCACCCCCCCGTCTCAGGTTGGCCAGACTGTGAGAATATCACTGGTGTGAGTTCCATTAACAAGCTAATCAAAGAAAAATTTCCTCCAGTAGCGTAACCCACATTAACATGGCTAATGGATAATGACTTCTGATTGGTCATTTAACAGCCTGGTGTTACCGATGAATCAGATTTGAGTCATTACTGCTGAATATGCTCACGCAGACTCTCTTACACAGTGGCAAATTTACTTTCTTATGCACTCTACTTCATTTGCTCACAGACACACAAACTCGCACAGAACGTACCCGATTTCTGCTGTGTGACAGGCCGCCGGCTGACCCTGTTCTCTCCATTAGAGAGTATAATTAGAGCAACTCGCCCCCGGTGCTCAAACACACACAAACAGGCACACACACGCGTACAGTTGGTAATTAGAGCAGCTCACCCCAGTGCTTCCACAACAAACACAGCATAATGCCCTCATTATGGCCCAGTCATTTCAGGCAGGGCCTAATCAGTCCCACAGTGATTTATATCACTTTTTCCTGTTCGCAGCAAATGAAATCTGTAGGCCAAATTAATACTGGCTTTTCATCATCGCCCAAGTTTAAAAGCCAGTTACCGTCACAATTCCCCTCATTAATTTAACGGCTGAAAATCCCAGGCAGGTGGAGTAAACACTCATTATTGGAACAAATTGAAGAGGGACAGAGCAAGTGAAGGAAAGAGAGTGAAGAAAGATGGAAAAAATCTTTTTTGAGTGAATGCAGCATTGAATTAACTTTGCAAACACAAACAGATTGATCTCAGTAGTTTTTGATTGAGGCGTGCAAAAGCCTTTAGCCTGAATGGAAAATGGCCACACAACAAAGCACAAAGTTAGCTTAGCTTTCCCTCTTTTGGCTCTTTGAGTTGAACCTGGACATGATAACATAAAATATTTTAGAGTGTTATTTTAATGCTTATACTTACTTGTCTGTCTGAGACGGTTTCTTCTGTGTTTCAGTGATTCAGATGAGTCGGACTCTAAAGCTAGCAGCTCATCGGCCGAAAGCTCCTCCTCCTCGGTGTCGGACTCTGACGATGACTCTGAGCCCCCAGCTCCGCAGAAGAAGAGCAACGTAAAAGCCAGGCCTAAGGTGACGCAGTTAGCATTTAGCTTTTTTCAGTCTTGTGTGAACAAACAGTTGAACTAAAAAATTGAGTATTTGTAGCTAATGTAACCTACGCAGTGAGGTGTAGCTGAAAGGTAAGTTGTCCGGTGAGCTGTTCAGTGGAGTGTCTGTGAACGACGTATGAGCGAAGCTCCGATGTTGGACAAGATCAAAGTGGTTAGGTTGGAGTACGTCTGTTTGTTTTTCTGGTTGTTTAGCAAACGTTGCTGATTAGTTTTTAGTTCATCGTCCGTGACCCTCGGAGCGATTTTGTGTAGCCCCAATAGCATCCCTAGATTTTTGAGTTGTTGCCTCTAAAACAGGCAGTCGATATAAATCATCATCTTTTAAGGTTCTATGTTCAGCTTTCTACTATTAATTTTTACTTTAAGCTTTTTGACCGGGGTTAGGGTACAAACAGGGTCCGAAATTAAATTTTTTACTCACCGGCCAAGTTGTCCGGTAGATGATGAAAATCTACCGGCCAAGCATATCTTTTACCGGCCAAAATTCTAAATGATTTAGATCCACCTAAAGCATGTAATTCTATATTATGTTGATTCCAAACAGAGTGACAAAATAATTAAAACATCAATTAATAAGGAAAACAACTCTTTTGTCATTTTTACTATTTATTTATTTATTTATTTATTTTTAGAGATGTTTTTATGAACTCTTTCATTGAAATCTAGTCAGACTCCTTGTTTTCTCTGTCCATGAAGTCTGGCCTCCTGCTTCTGACACCGTCTTTGTGCCAAAGCATTACAGCCTCATTTGGGTCCTAGTCCTTGATCTCTGGAGAACACAGCTGCACCATGAGAATATCTGAAAGTGTGTCAGGGCTAGGGTTGTCACGGTCACTGGTGTAGCAGTAAACCCCGGTAAAGAAGTTGACAATAAATAATAACCGTCTCGTTTAAAAAAAAAAAAAAATATTATCTTGGTGGATTACCGTGGCTGCGGTGTAGGCGCGGTGACCCTTACCAGCCACCGTATCATCTGCTGGAAGTTGCCGGCGGCGCTCTTTGTTGTTTACGACCAAAACTTTCTTTAAGCTAAAGCTGAAATAATGGCAGGAGGAGACGGCAGCACTTGGGACATTTATTATCCCTCAAAGAAGACAAAGTCGGAAGTATGGGCATTTTTTGGAAATTTGAAGAATGCCAAGGGACAGTTGTCTGTGAAAGGCAGCAACGCTACGTGGCCATCATAATGTAGCCATTGTCTCACGACTCTGCCATCTCCAGTTCGCCACTTTTCACAAAATCTTCTGGTTGCCACTGGTCCTGGTGGTTTTTGTTCCAGTTCGACGAGTTTTCTTTTGGAAGGCTGGCTGACTCCAGTTAAAAACCGCCACATTTCACCGCTAGTTTTAACACGAAGCTAATTGCTAACTTGATAAACTGATTGAATGGGATAGGTGGAAATGACGTTCGATGCGGCGTTCACGTTTCGCGTACGTTTGTGTAAGTTGCATGCAGGCGGGAGGAGTATCAGAAATCCGTGGAAGATGACTGATAAGCATAACTAATTTGGTGCAAACATTTACTCGCCAGGTGGCAGGTAGAGCTCAAAAATTTACTCGCCAAATGGAGCAATTTACTCGCACTTGGCGAGTGGCGAGTGTTAATTTCGGACCCTGGGTACAAATAAAACAAATCACCGTAAAATAAATGTAGCATTTTTGAAATAGATGAAATGACATGTTTTGTGCCCGATGATGATGTCACTTGATGATTTTGCCCTTGTCTTGAAAAGTCTGGACATCCTGGACTTGATTGCAATCATTTATGCAACTTAACACTAAAATGCGTTGATGCCAAATTTATAAAAATGAATGTTTTCTTTAAAGTTCAACATGACATTTTCCATGTACTGGTTGATGTTAGCACATGCATACTATTATTGGTCTGAGACAAGTGAAACTCACTCACTCACTCACTCACTCACTCACTCACTCATCCTTTATTTATAAAGCACCTTACAGGCATGAGTATGCCACCAGGTGCTGTACAACAAAAGATTAAAACAATAAAACTAATAGCTTAACATACATAATTAAAACCACAAATAAGAATTACAGAATATAAAACATTAACAGTTGCTAACCCACAGAATTAAAAGCCAGATCGTAAAAGTAGGTTTTCAGCCTCATTTTAAAAAACTGCTACCGATGGAGAGCCCCTAATAGTTAGGGGCAGTGCGTTCCACAGTTTCGGACCCGCAACAGTGAACGCCCTGTCCCCTCTCAACTTCAATCTGGCCTTAGGAGCCACAAGTAGCAGCTGGTTCTCAGAGCGGAGTGACCGGGCCGGAGCATATGGCTGCAGCAACTCCGTTAAATAGGTTGGAGCCACACCACTCAGCGCCTTAAACACCATTAAAAGAACTTTAAAACAAATTCTAAAATCAGCTGGCAACCAGTGGAGAGCAGCCAAAATTGGTGTCACGTGTTCATGCTTCCTTTTGTTGTCCAAGAATCTTGCTGCAGCATTCTGGACAAGCTGCAGCCGGTTTACAGTACCCTTACTTACACCAAATAAAACGGAATTACAATAGTCGAGTCGTGAGGTAATAAAAGCATGAACAGCAGTCTCAAGGTCACGTCTAGATAAAAACGGCTTTACTTTAGCCAAATGGCTTAAATGATTAAATGAAGAGGATACTACAGTACCCACATGAGCATCCATGCAGAATGCACTGTCCATCTTCACGCCAAGGTTGACCCAAATAGGAGTTCAGTTCACCGCAGTCTACGTTTGGAAAATCAACATGTCCTCTCGGACCAAACAACGAGCCCCCGCACCGTGAGAACAAACATCTCAGCCCTGTTTCTTTCCCACTGAGACACAGGAAGTTTTCTGCCAACCATATCTTAATTCCTGCCAGACAATCCAAAAAATGTTTTATCGTGTGATCACCGGCGCCATCTAGAGGCAAGTACAATTGGCAGTTGTCGGCATAGAGATGGAATCCAATTCCAAACTTTCGTAAAATGTCACCCATTGGGAGCATATAAATTGAAAACCGCAAGGGTCCCAGTATTGAACCCTGCGGTATCCCCCATGGTAGATGTGAGAAGCCCGATGAGAAGCCACCCTTCCACACACAAACCATCCTGCCACGTAAATATGATCTAAACCAGTTTAGGGCTTGCCCAAAAATTCCCACATAATGTTCAAGGCGATGGAGCAACACCTCGTGGTCTACGGTATCGAAAGCTGCTGAAGGATCCAATAGGACCAGCAGCACTGGACTGTCACCACCTGTTGCTAAAAGAATGTCATTAAAGACCTTGATAAGGGCAGTCTCTGTACTATGCAACATTTTAAAACCTGATTGGAGGGTCTCTATAAACTGTAATATTACCTGCTGTCCTGGTTGTGTGAGCTGAAAGCTTTCAAATCTTGCACGCCTCTGGGATTTAATTAGGCTCCATGTTTCTGTTTTTACATTTTCTCTTCCTGCCTTCCATTTGCCCCCTTCTCAGCTTTCACAATCTTTTTCTTACCCGTTATGCTCATCACATCATTTCTCAGCCTCCTTTTTGCTTTTCTGCTCTATGAAATTCTCATTTCATTCACTTTGTCATTTGGGCACAGCCTATGAATTATGCATCTCTCTCGCTCTTTCAGACCACACTTGAGTAAAAGGGTTTCCGTGAGTCAGAGAGAATCTGATAAGCTACAGCCTCTCACTCTGTTTGCTTTTATTCCATTTCTCACTCACTCCCCTGTCTTGTGTTTGTTAGCGTCCGTGTTCCTTGCTGTTGGCGGAGTGGAATTTTATGGTTTTTTTATGGGATGTAAACGGAACGTGGTTGGTTAGGAAAGTATGGAGAAAGGGGGATAAAATGTTTAAATATGTTTTTTATTTATTCTGAGATGTAAGCATGTGCCTGAGGTGCCGTAAACCAGCTAGTGACAAGTCTGGCTCCATGCACAAGGTGGTGCATGACGTTTGTGACACGCTGCATGACTAATCCCTAAAATCTCCAGACAGGTTGCAGGTACACCTCTCTTTTAGAGATAACTGTTTCACATCTTCAGAAACACTTCAGACTCGTTTTATCTTTCTTGAGTTTCTAACCAGTGTTTGTTTTTTAGGTGGAGGTGAAGTCCAAGAAAGAAGTGTCTCTATTGGATCTGGATGACTGTGAGTTTTTCCATGAATTCAGTTTGTATGAAAAAAAGCAGTAGCAGGCTGCAAAAGGCCCTTGTTTTCAACCGATATTGAGACCAAAGTGGTGAAATAAACACTTGAAAAGAAGTTCAAAAGAGAGCTGATGTCAGAATAAGTGACGTCCTTTAATTAGTGAGAGCAGAATCATGTTTGTATTCATAGGTTAACCTTTACAGAATGTGTTCAACAGTAACGTACAAACATCTGCTGGCGGTCTGGTGAGTTTTGGAGAATCCCAGAATGACCGGTGTGCTCTAGTGCAGCAACGATCTGTCCCTTACAGAGGACTCTTTCAACAGCGTCTTCTCTTCCCACACTAATCCACACGCCTGGACAGATGGAGATTTTCAAGGGCTGATTTATCGTCCCAGTCCTCCCCTGGTCTTCAACCCTCGTCACCTGCATTAGCTGCATAGAGGGAATAGCCTGGCTAACGATCGCGTCAACAAAACTAGAGAAAATTAGTATTCATGGCCCGTTCACCTTGGCTCACGCCTGTGTTGATTTAGCAGCAAGGAGAGAGCAGACCATCTCAGCTAGTGGAAGCTAACCATTAGCATTAGCAACTCCACGACATGGCGGAATGCATTTAGGCTTGCGGAGATGAAACATTAAGGTTGCTATTAGCCAATCACAGACATGAAAATCCCTCACCTTTTGGGGAAATTCAATGGTTTGACTCCAAAGTGGATCACCTACATGATTCGTGCAGATCTGATGAGAAAATAACCGTGGGGGTGGGGGTGGGGTGAACGTCCATTAGGTCATTTCGGTTTTATGAGTAAGACTTGTAATCCTGCCTTAAAATGCCTTAAAAATCCTTAAAAATGACAAATGATCCTTAAATACAGTTTCCAAAGGTCTTAAATTAATTTTAAAAAATAGCTTAAATTTGGTCAAAGTGGCCTTAAAAAGGTCTTAAAAAGTCTTAAATTTGGCTCTCTTAAACCTGCAGATACCCTGGAGAGGAGGCAAACGGAGCTCACAGAGGGTTAATATTATTATATATTAGAGAGGAGAAACCTACACTGCTGACAGGTGTGCTCATTGTTGACAAAGCTCTTTGGTAATGTCTGACTGATTCTGGGTAATATTCACCCTCTGATTATGATCTCGTTCAGTGAGGAACAAGGCGACGTTCTTCATGAGAGTAAACACATGTCACACATATGATCCAGAGCTTATTTCACCGTGTTCAGGTCATGGTGGGTGTAGAAAGGATGGCGAAAGCACCGCTAATAGTGACCGACGTAGCGAGAATAGAAGAAGGAAAAAAGCCGGGCAGACTTGGTAGATGTGAAACTGGAAGGTGCGCCATGATTGATATTAATTGTGATTGTAATGAAACGACATTACTATAAGGGGAAAACTTGACTTTTGAAATCAGAATGTACAATTTTTATGGAGAACCAATGAGAAGAACCAAAAATGGGGTTCATCTGACGGCCTGCTTCGGTGATTTGGGCATTTTGGCCAAAAACTGAAAATTTCAGTGGCCGAATTTTTGGTGTATCCTTTTTCATACCAGAGATCACAGCAGATTCATTGAAAAATGAGTGAATCGGACTTGTTTTAAAGCCCTTTTTAGGAGTTATTTGACATTAAAGTGAGATGATCTGGTGTAAAATGAGGCGACATTAGTGAGGTGACGTTTTTATTTGAGTAGTTTGGAGAGAGTGAAACTAAATAAAAAGGCTTATTTCAAACTTCTGCTCACTGATTAATCCTAACCGTATAAAATATCTGACTTAATTAATCCCGTTTGTTAGATTTTTCACTTTTCCTGTATTTAAAACCAGTATTTTAAACTTTAATCTGCAGTGTCTCCTTTGGAAATATCTATTACTATCGTTAATTTTAATAAAAATTTTGTTTTGGTTGTTTTTAGTTTCTCCTGCACCTATGAATGCTCCAAAGCCTTCGGTCTTCTCTCCGAGTCTCCTGTCAGACCTGGAAGGTCTTTCTCTTTCTAATGTGTCGTCTGCCATGCAGGTTAGTGAACTCTACAAACGTGTGTGTGTGTGTGTGTGTGTGTGTGTGTCGATCAGCTAGAGTCGATTGTTCCTTTCTGCCTGACTCTGACAGTACGGCGCAGCTTTGTACGCTACAACAAAATGAACCGCTCTCCCTTGTGGAACATTTCTGCTCCCGACGACCAACTATTGACCTTTTCTGCCGTCTATATTTATAGCCGGTTAGGATGGTGATACGGCTCTCCCAGTTTCCTGTATCACTTATATTCTGTCTTTCTCACCCTGGCTGTCTTTTTGCTCTTCCACACCCTTGAACTCTATTTCTGCGTCTCATCTGTAAGTCCGCCCACTCTGTTTCTCTCTTCCTCTCTGCCTCTCATCTCTCTCCTCCTCTCTGTCACCTTCCATCTCTCTCTGTCAGTTGCTGCGTCCCTCGTGTCTTCGTGTTGTGTGTATCTGATGTTTGACCTTTACTACTGTGACGGCTCCTTTCTCTCCACAGTTTGCAAGTGACTCTTTCACATCTGTGTGTTTTGTATCTTGTCTTCCTCCCAGGAGAAAAATGTCCAAATCGTTCTTTGTGCAGTTGCTGTTTCTATTTTTGCACGACTAGGTTAGATCTCTGGTAAGGTCGTTGTTGGAAGATTTCAAAGTGGATAATCCGAATGGTAATGAGCCAGCTGTTTAACAAGTAATTTACCTGCATTTGTTAAATAAATAATTTTTTGAAAAAAAAAAAATCTAAACACACAATTTTTTTTACTAAATTTGAACTAAATTCAAATGGAATGAACCATTTAGAAATGATGTCAAATGTTAATAACAATTAGTGAAAACAGGCAATTCGCAAATGTTTTAACCGCAATCAGATATTAATTCTAAAAGAACTTCAACAGAACAGAAATGCTTTCTTATGATGTATTTTGTTCCTCATTAGTTTGTGACCTATGCCCACGTCTCACGTTGTCCCACTTGGTGTTTGTGCACACGCAAAATACTTGCTTGCAGGTTTCAAACCCGTGTTCAGCGCTAGCAACAGACTTTCCCAAAAATACTAGTATTAAAATAACAATTCATTAACTTGTGATAAATAAAATATTTGTCAGCATTCATTAATAAAAGCATCATTGTGATGACGTGTTAATTTTTGCAGCCTTAGTAAATTTCCAATAGCTAACCTTATTCATATTAAAACGATATTTAATTTTTTTTTTATTTTGTTTCATTTTTCTCCTACTTTATCAAGAAAAACTATTGAAGTTTGACACTTTGCAGTTTAAACAGTCATTCGACAGGTTTACTTGGTTTTTCTAACAAAATGGTAAAATTGCTAGATAACTTTCATTTTGGAGGTGTGAAATTATTTTTAGGGATTTCCAGCTAAGATCAGCGGCTTCAACTTGATGTGTTTCAACATTTAAGCACCAGTACAGGATATTCCATCCATGCATCCATCCATCCATGCATCCATCCATCCATGCATCCATCCATCCATGCATCCATCCATCCATGCATCCATCCATCCATCCGTCCGTCCGTCCGTCCGTCCATCCGTCCATCCATTCATCCGTCCATCCATGCGTCCATCTATCCACCCATCCGTCCATGCGTCCACTCACCCATCCGTCCACTCATCTATCCGTCTGTCCACTCATCTATCCGTCCACTCATCTATCCGTTCATTCGTTTGTTCATTCATTCATTCTTTAAGTGGAAAATGAAAGGATAGAAGTAGCAATGGTAAAGTCCCTAAAACAGGAATGTGTAGAGGGAAGGCTGATATCACCCAAAGTGATTTTTGTTGGTCTGGAGTGTCGGCAGATTACCCCGAGTCACTGAGCAAATTTTAATGAAAGTCTGAAAAAGTAATCGTTGGCCCTACTTCTACAGCTAATTAACTTTTAGAGTCTGCCTGATTTTAGTTGATGTGGCTAATCCATATTAGCAAACACAAAAATGGCTCTAATTCAGCCAGTTTAACAGATATTGAGCCACGGTTTGATGTGGTTGCAGCAGAACAACACTCTTGTATTCTAACAGATGATATGAGATTGTGCTCAACATTATTTTCAAAAGTTGACCAAAATGTTAGCTCATCAAAACTTTGGCATTAATGGTGGCAGGATAGAAAAAATGATTTTAGCTATATTCAAAGGTCAGTGTTTTATGATGACCACTTGGTTTACCTGCATATCAAACAGGCCACACCCACTTCAGTCTGCACACTGTCCTAGCTTGGCTGCTACACTCATCTTTGAGGTGAGTTAGCTCATGGTTTGGGTTTGCCCATCACCCCTTCCTGCCTGTCCATCATTATGATAGACAGCTGCTCTTGGGGCAGCGTGGAAGCAGCACGAGCTTTGTTAGTCAATCTCTCCTCCTCCTCGGGTGAAGGCCAAGGAGTAATGGAGAATAGAAATGCAGATTAGAACAGGGAACTTTTTGCACATCAACATCTGATTTAGAGTCAATTCTATGCATAAATACATGATGGGCTACGGAATTCACAGACAAGGGTAAATAACCTCACCTTTACACACACACACACACGCACGCACGCACACACACACACACACACACACACACACACACACACACTGGCCTCAGTGTCATTTCTATTTCTCAGCAATCTGCCCACAGAGGCAGCGAGTCTGTCTCAGCTGAGCGCTCGGGCCTTTTTAGAGAATTACTGCATGGTTATCAAAGGCATTTAGATTAACCCTGGTCACTGTCTTTGACCTACCTCCTCCTCTGCCTCTCCTGTTTCTGCATGCTACCACTCTCTCTAATAACATTTTGACATTAGGATCTTCCACAAAGGCCTCTTAAATCCCCCACCCTCCCCAACGCACCACAAACCTCTTCCGACCGCTGTCCGTGTGTGTGGCGGGGCGGCGGAGGCTGATAACTTTTCATTCATAATTAGCAGTCTGCGAATGGGGCTGCGTTAGGGGGAAATTGAACTGTCAGCGGCGGGGCGCAGGGCGTTTGACCCCATCACGCCCAGAGGGGGCCATCATAATTTGTTCATTTGGTGTCCATCAGGCGGGCGCTGGCTCACCTCCTCCTCCTCCCCCATCTCCCTCCTCACCCCCGTGACCTCCCCGTAGCAGGCGCTCGGGGTTCACGTCTAATTATGAATCAGCAGAAGGACCTGGAGCACCACGAATATAGTAGCTCCTGCCCTCCAAACCTCCTGCTGCCACTCAAACGGCAGAGATTGCTTCTTAAATAGAAATAAACGCCCGTGAGGAAACGGCCGGCCAGTCCGGCAGCCTGGGCATTCAGGTGATGGTTTCAGGGGAATATTGGTGTTTGAAAGGCAGCCGTCTTTCTCACTAGTCTTTTCTTACATAATTGATGTCCATTCATAATTTTAATATTGTTTATGTTGCCATAAGTCTTTGTTCAAAGCTGTTTTTGCACTCACCTGATAAAGGCTTGACCCTTTCTTTTACCTATAAGCCAATTTGGAACTTTCTTAATTAAATGCATGGATGTGTTACCATTCAACTCAATTTTCTTTTTTACCATAACTAAGGAAGTATGTTTTTTTCCTGAGGGAGTAACAGTCACTGGAGTACCTGGTTGGTCTGTTCCAGTAGATATGGCATTTAAAGATTAAATGTTTTCAAAGGTAGAGTTATGAATGAGAAGAAAATAGAAAACATTTCTACCAAACTGGTTACTTATCTGAGAGCTGACAGTAGCCGCGTTTACATGTGCACAATTAATTGGATTGAACGCCCAATCAGATAAAAAATTCTGCATGTAAACATGTCAGTCGGAAGGTTCTGATCCGATCTGGCCCGACCGGAAGAAAATTTCAATCCGATTGAGAGAGGTGGTTTTGTCCGATCATCATTCCGATTGAGGTGCATGCACACAGCCATTCGGATTGTTGGAGTAAAATAATGCGCACTGCGCATGTGTGCAACAGCTAGCGAGCCTCCCTGCTCTCCTTTGGACTACCTGACTTAAAAAATGACGGCCTAATTAACAACTTTTAAATTTGATGGCAAGCGTCCCCATTTCAGTCATTTCTAATCCAGAACTTGCATTGTGGAAGTAAAATAAAAATCTGATTATTGCACAAATCATTCGACCAACGTGTTCAAGTCTGTACCGGAAACATGCCGATTCAGTTCAGGTTTGCAGCACGGATCCTCGTTTCTGTGAACTCAGCAGCTGTTTCTGCAGCAGGTGGATGGAGACGTGCTCGTAAAGAAGACAGGATAACATTGGTTAAGCAGACCTGGTTTGAGTTTAACCCTCTCAGGCTCAAAATAAGTTTTGATAAAAGGACAAACAACTAAGTCCTTCAGGGGTACTTCTGAGTTAAAAAATGCTCATGAAATACGTGTGTGGAGTAACCAGGTAGGTAGGTTTAAGTTTTAACGTTGCAAATCTGCAACACCTGCCTCGAGAGGGTTAAGGAGTTTGATGTTGGGTAGAAAAACATCCCCAGTTAAATATTCTGGGCAACTGTGTAAAAGCACGTTAACGCAGATGAGATGAGATGCGGTTTGTTTTTAACACATGATGAACACCGGCTTCCAAACTTTCTGAACATCTCCTGTTATTTAGTTTGAACCACGTTTTCTCAACTGTTTCAGCTGATTGTCACATTTTATTAATAATACACAACAACAGAGCTCAGTAATAAAACATGAGTCTGACTCCCCGCTCTGCTCCGCCCAGCCGTTGCGTCAGACCAGCGGATCAGCTGATCAAGAGGCAGAGACGAGGATAACCCTCCCTTATTTTAATATAGTCAACAACAAAATGCAGCACTAAAGAAAACGTAATTTCTTTGAGCAAAATAAATACATTAAATTGATTAAATGAGTCAATTAAGCAGGAAGAATTGTTTTTTCTGTTTTTACATTTTTCATTTCGTTTCATGACGTTTGTTTACAAAAACATTTTCAGGGAAAGACAACTCTGCACATGCTCAACCTATTTAATCTGATTGAATGCTTGGTTCATATAAACTCACGGCGTGATCGGATCATTTCA